AACAATAATCTTAATGGATGAAATTGGTGCTTGGAACAGAGTAAAATGAGAGTCATGGGAATATGCTACTTGAGAACTGCACTGAGGGTAGGATATGATTGTCTATTATAATCTGTTTATTTATTTGAAAAACACCCAAAAAACAGAGTCACCCCAATAAGCTGCATCACTCTTAGTTGCTGTGTTGCCATATGAATATGTGTAGCCCTTCATGAAAGATTCAGATCCGAGTTTGCCTTTATGGGCTTATATTCTTTTATGTACTTTAAGTATTTCAGAAATAGAAGAGTGTACAGACCCTAGCTAAGATGAGAGCTCAGACATTCTCTTATGTACATTAACTGAAAGGATCCAAGTCGTTCGTGTGCTACAGTCATGRCTTCTAACAGCATTGGACTCAGTTTCTGCTTATGATGGACTTTTGATGATTCAGATGTCTGCTACTGATTTTATTTATTGAGCAAATACAATGAAGAATAGTAAATTTGCTTGTCTGTGCTACTATAACATTATTAAACCAATTGCAATTTATCTGCTGCTGTGCTATAAAACTGTAGGTTTTTTCATGGTTGTCAAGTATTGGGTAGAAAGCAGAACAGGAGGAGCCCAGAAGGATGTAGTACGGTGTTTTGTAGAATTAACACCTTTAATCTAATGAATTTTCTTAATTGAGTTTTTAAACAAYCACTAAGAAAGTTTGGAAAGTGATTTTCTACTTTGGTTTTAAATTATAAAATAAGGTGCTTTCAGAAGCAGGAGATGGTTTTAAAAGAGGCTAAATTTATTTAATTGACRTATCTAGACCTTCGGAAGAATATTAGGAAGTGTGAATAGTTGCCAGTCCTGAAAGAAAGAAAACATGGAAATAGAAAATGTATGTTAATTGATGCATTCTCCTATTTTACAAAGATGAGCTTTGTCAGGGAAATGGTTGTGGTCTGCCTTGCTAATAGYGCCAATGAATCTTAACTGGATATTTACATAAAAATTCCATTTTTGATACCAGCAGGTCTTTAATATATGCCTGAGGAGGAAGGATGTCATGTCTTAATAAAATAGACTCTCTTAAAATTTTCTTTCARAGTTTTCTTAAAACATTAAGAAGAAAATTTTGTGTTGGTTTCTTTTAAATGAGTGGGTTTTTTGGAGCTAAATTATTATTATCTTATTTATTAATACTTTTTTTGCCTCTGTTCCCCTAATGATATTCTTGATATTTTTCTTCTGGTTAAGGGATTGCTTGGCTCAGACATAGGCTTTACTTCAAAACAAGTCACTGTTTAAGACAGCAAATTGAGGTATTGTTTTCAAAATGTCATGTAAATCAAGTCTGGGAAATGTATAATTGAGTGAAACTATTTGTTACATGGTACATAAGTAATGAAAAAACAAAGCATTTATATTCCATAAGACAGGCACTCAGTGAGCTGTTGGCATGTGTTCATTTAATTTAWTAGAGAAGCTGAATATAGGAAAAGTTTTGTGTCTTGCTGAGTCCAAAGACTGGAAGTCAATCTTGTGATAATGATTCCGATCTCAACATAGATCAACRGAATGCAATGTCAGCACAATATGTGAAGTTTTCCTACTTGACTATTGCTAAATTGCAGCTATTAAATTAACTCAATTAAACTCTTGGCTTTTTTTTTTTTTTTTCATAAATAGTAGCCAGTTGCACTCAATGAAACTTTTTTTTTAGAAAAGACATATCTATAAAAATAAAAGCCTTAGTTTAGGTAGATGAGAGGTTTAATTTTTAATAAATGAAGGTATTTGTTGGAAATACTCTTTCCTGCAGTCTATTTTTGAACCTATGTTGGTATTAATGCAAAAGGCCTGTCTGACCCATGGAAGCTCCCCTTCCCTGCCCTGATATCATGACAAGTTTGCCTACACGCATGCATTTKAATACTGTGTGGCCAGTAGTTCATGAGGTGTGAAATCATGGATGCATTTCAAGTTACCCTTTCTTGGGGGATATTTATTATTGTAACATGCTTTCCAGGAAATCGGTATGTGTAGAGTCATGGATGTAGTAATTTTCAGAGGTGATTTTCATTTTTCAAAAGTATTATTCATCTTGGATGATAGTCAAAAGTATTTRGTAGGAAATTGCATAATTTTTAGTGTTTTACGTGTGATTTGCCTTATTATAATTAGCTGCTGTGTGTTAAATTTAGTATGTATAAACCCCACAAAATGCTTCTGCAGTKATGATCASAGTGTGACCKGGGGAGAAGACTCACTTATSATCATAAGTGAGTCTTCATCTTTGTAATTTCTGGGGCTTGAATCATACTGATTTTGGTAGACTGGAAAAATTGCCAATGCAAACAGTSGGAGATAAAATAAAAATTAATCTTTGTATGTGTGTGTGTGTGTGATTTTTGTGTCCTGGCAGATATACAGTTGTGACAGTAGTGTAGAACAGAACCTGTAGAAGACAGCTTGCCCTAAGTTTTGCTCCAAGGTGGCTTTGTAAGGAGGTGAGGTAGTGGATGAAGTAGTGCCACTGTTGGAACTTGGAGAACTACCAAAAAAAAAAGGGCATTGTTTATATTGAGGAATATTATGCATTAGTTTTTTGGAAAAGAGGAAACATTGCAATGGGTCTGAAKCTCTAAGGCACGTGTTAATTTGTCACTTGTTTGTGTTCATTCAGTCTCTGAAGGCTGAGCACTGCCTCCTCTTTGTTCTTCCAGCATATCAGTGCAGACCTGTAGATTTTTTTAGAGARCTGGTGTAGTTTTGTACCCTATAGGCTGCTGAAACATAAGAGAGTGACATGATAAAATTGTCCATTGTTTCTTACACTAGCAGTTTCATTTAGTTGATTAGATTTCAGGATGGGAAGAATAATATGTCTGATTATGTAGGCTTCCTTTTTCTTTGCTAACTCTGGGTTATCCCTTTAAAATTCTGAAAAAAACAATTTTTATTAATTTCTTTCATTTTCTGATTGTGTTATCTTGGAGGATTTGTGTATGTCAGATGCATCAACAAGTTCATTAWGGAAGGGAGATCAAGAGAAGCTGGTTCTGTGCAGAATCAGCTGTTGGGARGGAAAAGAGGTTTGGTCAAAGATTCCTCACTAATCTGGCAAATTAAATATTCCAGAGGAGCCCTGGCACTCCTGTGGGAAGGGGCAGCTGTTAAAAATTTGCAGAATATGAGCACAGGCAAGGACTCTGTCCAACCAGAACTACAGGAGGAGTTTAGGTGGGCAGAGAGYCCTAAACCTGGAACTGCTCCAGGAAATTTCACAGTCCAAACTACAGCCAGCTTTTATGGGGACAGTAGCATTTGCTGCTTGGTGCTTCAAATGTTTTTAAGAGGATGGTCACACTTTGCATGCTTTGTCCTAATGATTTCCAAGCAGACCCATTAAAAATAATTTTTAATAAAGGTGTTTTGTTTTTTTAAAAAAATCTGTTAATTTTTTTTAATCTATAGAGAAACGTTGCCATTCTGAAACTGAAACAAAGTCCTCTATTAGCAGATACACAGGTCCACATTAACCATGTTTTTCAGGTCCTTACTCTTCTTTGTTTTCCTGTATGTTTTTTAGGGGCAATGTTTTTCTGCAAATACCTGTCACTTCTTCCCTTACCTTCCTTCCCTTGCAAATCTTTCAGAGAAATAATATAAAACATTTCATGTTTGGTTTTTTTTTTTTTTTTTTTTTTTATTTTTTTTTTTTTTTTTTTTTTTTTTTTTTTTTTTTTTTTTTTTTTTTTTTCCCATAGAAAGAATTAAAAATATTTCTGTTCTGCAAAATAACTGTGGTCAAGAAAACAATAAAGTGGGGAAGAACTTCTGTTGTTACTGGAAACCTGTTCTAAGTTCCATCCAGTAGAAGATTCTGCTGGATGTCTGTGTAAAGGGTTTAGCCCTGAAGCCTCTCATCAGAATTGCAAAGTATATAACTGAGAAAGATTTGCTGGTTGGGTTCTATCTTGTATGTAGAAGTGGGTTTAGGGTTTGCATGACASAAACTACGTCAGACAGGCATCTGATTGTGTTGTAAAAACAGTCTGCTTTCATGCATCTTTTCCCACAATAAATTCACTGAATCACAGAATGGCTGAGGTTGGAAGGGATCACTGGAGGTCGTCKGGGCCACCTAGAGCCACATGGGTGGGAATTGCATTTTTAGTTTCAGAGAAAAAAGGGAGAATATGCTGCTGAACAAGAAAAATAGACATTTGGCTTTTCTTATCCTCCCACCTTCCATCAAGTGAGCAGGTTTGGGGGCAGAAACAAGGTAGTGTCTGTACCCTCATGCCAGTTTGCAGGTGTAGCACCTAGAAATCAAGAAYGGCGCTCTTGTGCAAGTTGAAGAAGTGCAACTAAGAGTAATTTGACTGAAAAACAAATGAGACATGTAGCAGCTAATTAAAATAGTCTTTCCATTTAAGACCATCAYGGAACTGAGAGCCAGAGTGAGGAAGGACTCAGTTTTCCCTCTTTGCATGAAAAACACTGCTACCTTTGTGCTTTAAAAACCCATTAGGCTAYATGAGCAGATCGGTGAAAGTGTCAGCAACCTCTTGTTTTATCATGGATTTTCTTTTAATGCTTAATTATACTAGCATTAAAGTATTTCTGTGACAATTAAACTGTGCAGTCATCGCTTGATACTTCTCTAATGCAGTTTTCATAGTGGTGGGTTGTCCTTGGCCTGTGCCCAAATGCCCACCCAGCTGCTCTCTTGTTCCCTGTCCCCAACAGAAGCGTGGGGAAATAAGGCAAAAAAACCTTTTTGATTGAGATAAAGATGGAGAGATCACTTAAATATTACTATCATAGACAAAACAGTCTTGACTTGAGGAAAATTAATTTATTGCAAAATAAAAYGGAAGTGGATTAACAGTGGAGAAACAAAGACAAAATTTCTAACACTTTTCCTTCCACCCCTTTTTGCCTTGGCTCAGCTTCTCTCTATTTCCAGTTGCTCTTCTTCCTCACTACACCTTTATATATTTTTCTTCTCTTTTTAGGAGGGGCAAGAAGCACAGCATAATTCTAAGGACCCAGCTGTCAGTGAGAGTCCATGCCTGCATTGGTAAGTTCCATATGTCTGAAAAAGCAAGTAAATCGATTTCCAAKAAGCAAATCTGGGGAGTATGAATCAGACTCGGCTATGTTCCAAGTTGATGATAATGGCCAATAAATTGATTTTATTATTTTGTTTGTTGCATGCTGAAATTAGGTTGTATTAACTGCACTACCCCTAAGGCATGTTAAACATCCCAGGGAAGTATAGCATTTGACAATGAATTGAGATGGTTGGGTGGTACTTTGAAGAATCTGCTATTATCTGACTTGTCACAGCCTTTGCATCTCAAAAAGACTGTTCTGGATTGGGAATGAGATCWGAAGAATTGTTGGCTGACTGCTAASTGTTATATTTTAATAGCATATAAAGTTTATTACTTCACATCTTGCCGATCTTGGACACATGTTTGTCAGTATCACAGTGTCAGTGTCTTTAAAACCCTGGTTAAAACAATGCTGCCACAAGGAAAAGTCTAATGAAATTCATAAAGTGTCAAAAGAGCTTTAAGGTTACATGAATGGAGGCTGATGTTCTGGGATAGCATTAGTATGTTCTTCAACATTCTACAGAGCAGAATGTTTCACTGAGTGACAGTGACAAAGCTAATGCTCACGTCCTGGTGGTACTAGGCTAGATTTTATGGGAGGCTGGTTTAAAAAAAACCCAAAATTTAAAAATCCTGTGTGTCTGTGTCACTGTTGTTTTTAGCTTCGCCATACTAGATTCAGCTTACTAATATGTTTAACTTGTTGTTCTTGCTTCAAGAGACCATAGCTGAAGCCCTGAAAATTCTTCTTAAAAGGAGGAGGAGAAAGTCAAAGTTTTGTGTAATTTCTCCAGTGACACTGCTTTTGGAGGATTCAGGCTTTAAATACAGCTAAACGATTTCCCCTGCCCCCAGGATATGTTATGAAATGGCATTTCTGAGAATTTGAACTGAGTATAAGCAACCTACAGAATTCCTCAAATACCTCTCATAGAGAACGATCTCTAGGCTGCCTTGTGCAGGAACAGTTTCTCCTCTACTCCCATGGACTTGAGGAAGAACAGTAGAGCAAGCCTACATGTTGAGTGTTAGAGGAGGAACAGAGATGATGCAAAGTCTAAACTGATTTTATAAATGTGAGTGAAATTAAGAACAGCTTGGAGAAGATTGTTYTTGTTAGGTCTGGAAATATATTTGGCAAAACAGACCAGTGCAGCAGRACAAGATTTGATAAGTTTCCCGGATTGAGGTTTTATAAAAAGAATTTTCATGTACTTTTTTTTTTCTCCAGAGTGCAGCCATCGAGGAATTGGAGCGCATCAGGTTCTGAGCTTCCACGTGTGGTTGCATTGTTGTTATCTGTTTCCATTCAAGCTCACTGTGGGCAATTAGGCGTGTTACTGYGCATGTATCTTAATTGTTCCTGTATTAAAGTGTGTTCCCTTGTCAGGTGCTGTTGCTCTCTGGCAGCAGTGATGTATTCAGCAGTGAGTATAGAGGAAGCCAGGCTGCAAAACTTGAGTCCAGATTTCAAACTCCTAGAGAAGAGGTGTGTTTGGATATGAGCTTTTGGCTTGGTTCATTATAGKCAGAAAAGCCAAATGCAAGTTCTGGTTCTAATTTCCATCCCCCCTGCTGAAGTTTAGAATTTGGGTTAAGTTTTTGTTTCAGCCCATAGCTTGGTGTAATGTAGTTTCTTTTCTCTTATTTTCTTTTATGTTTTGCATATCAAGCTTGTCTTATTATTTGGTATGGGATAGTTTGAAATAGTCAGGGAACATTCTGTGTTTCTTATTACTGGCGCTGTTTGGAGGGCTATGCCTAGCAGTTAAACCCCAGAATAAGAGGGTTATTTCACTAGCACAGTGGGTACTGCTTCGCTTCATCTTGTGTGTGTGCACATCAGCTRACTGTTAACCTCTATTTTCAAATGCAAGCTTTAGGTTTAGAGGTTAAAAGATGTGTTACGTATTTGGAGTAGAAACCAGGAGCTAGAGGAATCTGAGCTGGAGTTATGTGGAGCAAAACTGTCATGCTTTGGGAACTTTCATTCTTCACAGTATCCATGGAAAAGCATTGTGATTAGCRATGTTACTGACTCTGCAAAGTCCCCAACAGGTAGCTAGGGCTGCTTTCTGAGAAGATGTGCTTTGTTATGTGGTGATCTTTTTGCTAAGCCTCGTGTCATCATTGTTTTTAGTGTTTTACTTTGCTCTTAAGAGCTGACAGGTGTAAAGAAATAGCTTTCCTGCCATAATCTCTCTCCTTGGAAGTTGCTTCAATATTTTTTCTTTCTTCCTAACTCATTGTGCTTTTAAATTGTGGGAAATAACAAAAGTGTTTATGTTCAGATGTCCAGATAAAGTTTTCCATCGTCAGTGACTTCAGTTCTCTGGAGAATTCATTGGGCTTCAGTGTCAGAGGATGTATTGACTACAGGCCAATATTTTTGGAGAGTTGGGAAGACAGCATGCCCCATGTCAAGTGGGGTAGGGTTTTTTTTTTTTATTTTAAACAGAGCAGGGAAGGAATAATTATAACTTGAGTGCAGAAGTTGTGCTATTTTCTACCCTGCTAAATATGAGTCCCTCTTAAGTACCTTAATTTTATGCATTAATGCTTTCTTTTTTTTCTTTTACTCTCAATTTGAGTTATTTTCTTATGTTCATACTAAGGACTTTCAGCATGAAGGAACAAATTTTCTTTTAAATTTTACTCTATTTCTTTTCCCATATTGRTTTCATCCTGATTAAATAATCAGGATTAATTAAGCACTAATACATTTAAGTGGTTTTAGTACAAACTTCAATATTTAGAATGTTTCTTAATACCACAAGAGGTTTGCTGAAACCAATTCTGTTCAGAGAATATAACTAATTGAAAATTATAGATGTATTTTTGCACTTGTTGATGTCCAAAGACCTTAGTGGAAGAATCATAGAATCATAGAATAGATAGGGTTAAAAATCATCTTGTTCTAACCTGCTGCCATGGGTGGTGATGCCATCCACCAGAACAGGTTGCTCAGGGCCTCATCCAAGCTGGCCTTCAACACTTCCAGAGATTCAGCATCYACAGCTTCTCTGAGCAACCTGATTCAGCGCCTCACCACCCTCACAATAAAGGATTTCTTCCTAATATCCAATTAAGGTCTGCCCTCTCTCAGTTTAAAACCATTGCCCCTTGTCCTATCACTAGCTGCCCATATAAAAAAATGGTTTTTCCTCTTTTTTTTACTGGAAAGCTGCTATAAGGTCTCCTTGAAGCCTTTTCATCTCCTGGCTGAACGGCCCCAGTTCTCTCAGTCTTCACAGGAGAGGTGACGTGAGGGCTGGAGCATTTTTGTGCCCTCTAGACCCAGTCTACCATGTCCATGTCCTTCCTGCGCAGGGGACCCCAGAACTGGATGCAGTGTCTAGGTGAGGTCTCACAAGGGCAGAGCAGAGAGGCAGAATCCTCTTGGTTACCCTGCTGGCCACGCTTTTGATGCAGCCCAGAGTATGCTTGGCCTTCTGGGCTCCGCGAGCTCCTTAAATCAGATAGTGTCAACTGTAGGGCTTTTTTCCCACAAGCTTTCAAATTTGACCTTTTATTCAAATCACATTTATTATGAGTTACTACCCTTGTGGGAAAAGTCACTTTAGTATTTTTTGGCAGCCATATGACTTTGTATTTAGTTGTGTCTTAACATTATTTTAGTTTGTATGTATTTAACAATTACAGGTCTCAGCTGAAGCCTGAATAAAGTCTAATGTAAATGAGAATGTAGCTATAGGGAGTGAATACCAGCATTGTCAAAAGTTTTAGCCCCTGAAACTAAATGGAAGGTTTAAGTCAGAGCAACATTATGACAGTGAAATTTTAAAGATCTTTACCAGCTCCACTTTTCCTGCAAGGGACTTGGTTTAGCCATTAGGTCCTTGGCTGAACAGCTCTATTTGTGGCTGCTGCTTCATTTGTTTGTTCATTGCTTCATAGTTTTTATTCTCAAAATCTGATGTGTTCTSTGAGAGGAAAGACACCATTTGTTTTTACAGATCTGGACGATCTATTTAGCCCAAAAGAGGCCCATGTCCTCTTCTAAAATGCTTATGCCTGATGCTAAATCGGGAGTGTTGCAATCAATGCTGAGAATGATGTTTGGACAGGGATCCATGACAATGACTTAGAATGATTCTGCCAAAAGAAGTTTGATATAAGCTTCAGTTGTTAATACAATGTAATACAAGAAGAATGCAAATAACAAAATTGATGTGATTCCGAGTGCATGTGTTGACCTGGGATTACTTTGAGTACTGTGTCTTGGAAGGTCAGCAAATGTTGCAAGGAATATTTTAAATTTTACTACCTTCTTGTGTCAGTTTATTATTAAAATACCCCAAAAAACCCCAAACYAAATAAACCAACAAAACCAGCTAAAACACACAGCCACTACCCCTAGTCAGTTATTTAAAAAGGTTTTGCACTGTAAAATTGCATTTTTTTGTATGTCTGCACCTCACTCCTGTATTTATGCAGTCTTTCTTTTATATGCCAATAGATTAAAAATAATTTGCATAGATATTTGTGTATATTACATTTCATAGCTTGATCCAGGGAGGGCCGTAAACAGAGGGCAAGTATATTATTGCAAGAGTCTTGCTAAATATATAATATAGCTTTGGTGTTAGTTGTTATAACCCTTTTATAATCCAGTTCTATTGGCTGTTGCATGTGAGCCAATGCACAGTTACCTCAGCCATGGATTATTCCTGGCTCTGGGACACAAGCTCTGCCATGMCACACAACGGCTCTTTCTGGCCCCTATTACCAGGCTATCTGTGCTAACCAGCAGTGTTAGCACCAATAACCCAGCCTTTCCACAGAGCTCTTGGGATTATCTTTTTGATATCCCTTGCTCGTGATATCATTTATGAAATGTAGCCATAAATATCTTCTTGAGCCTGATTTGTTCTGGGATACCTGAGGGAAGCTGTAAGCTGGTTGTAACTAGGGGGCTAGTAGAAGCCAGCTGTTTTTA